CAGAGACAGCCAGCTAAGAAGAGCACAAACCAGAAATATGGAAATACGGTCAAACCCCACACACGGGTTCAGAGGGATTCAAACATCTGAGCCAGAAAGAGCTATAAAGGAATGGAGACCAAAGTCTTTGCACTTTATAAGGTCTTAAATGCTAGATAAAATGGGCAGCACAGCTCCACTAAAGGATTTGCCTCTTTGCTTCTGTATTTCATATCTACAGCTATACACTGTTTCTAAATACATATGTACACAAACTAGAAATCTCCCGGTGACTCACATACTGTTATGCTCAGAGGGCCTGGCCTGTCACTAACTGAGACCTACCTACAGACAGATTTAGTGCCAGTATAACCATTTTAATTTGGGATGTGAGTTTTTATAGCTATGGTTATACCGGTCCAGCCCCTGGTGTGGACACAGTTATACTGGGATAAAGGCACCTTATGTCACCACAGTTTATTCCCCTCCGCATAAGAAGGTCAAACTAGATGATCCAACGGTATTTTCTGGCTTTGAAATCTATGAATCTATAAGCACCTTTATACCGGTATAACTGCATCCACACTAGAGGAGGAGTTCTGCTTTCAGTATGCCTGTACGACTTTGCGTGCAGACAAGCCCTAAGTTTACTTTATGAGAAAATTATTGTTTAGCAACATAACCATGCTAAGAGCAGAAGAAATCCCCACTTCACTAACTCCACTGCCTGGGCGAGAGTTACAAAGCCACACAAACGCAGGTGGACTGCGTTCTCTGTTCCTTGGTCACGCGGCAGATGCACACTTCAGCAAAGCTTCTGGCCTGCTGTAGCCGGTTATTGCTGTTACCAGAGCTCCTTTCTACATTTCATTTTTAAAAGGCTGATGATGGGGATGTAGAAACTGGGGGCTGATGAAGTCTCCCATGGGAATCTTTTTTTAGCCTTCGCATGCTTAGTCATTCTGCAAATCTGGAAACAAATCAGTTTGGATGGGTTTTAAAACAACAGCATGTCATTACGTGACGCTGCAACAGTGCACTTGCACAGACAGTGCAACGAACACGGAACATGTCTGACACAACCAATTCAATTCGATGTTGCTGTCTCTCCCTTGACATTTGTTTTTCCTTAACCTTCTGCTGTCTGCCTTTCCTCCAAGTGCACTGGGCTGTTATCCATTAACATTCCATTGAAATCAAGGGCTGAAGGGAAATACCTGGAACATTTAGCAGTCAATAAACACCTTATCCACTTCTGACTCCCAGCTCTGGGCTCCATCCACTAGACCATGCTGCCTTTCAAAAGCTCAAACTTCTTCAATTTGTTCCTGACACTGTAGCTCCGTTTATCCTACTCAGGGTATCATAAAAGCCAAGTATACTTAATAGCAGTAAGACCCCAAAAGGAACACACCCATTTCCCCCACACATAGCGGAAACCATCTTGAAGTTCAGCTGTTCTTATTCTTATTGTAAAAAAGGAAACAGAAGTTCATTTGTTAGGATGATGGTGGAGGGTTAGATAACTGACTTCAAGGAGGAAATGGCTTATTAAAACAAGCATAGAGTTTAATCCATTTACTATCAATTGACTTTTCACTTTTGAAACCACTGGATTATTGCAATTTTGAAGTCCGCCAGTTCCAGTTTATTGCGTGTCCTAATGCAGACGGTTGGCATGCGGCTGTTCATGCCAGAAGCCAGCGGGAAAGGTTTGTACGGTTGGAAGAACGGGGAAACTGCTCTAGTGTGGTGCATCAGCTCTGCTCTGAATGGTTGGTATCAATGGTATCGTCAAGGAGGGCTGCAATTTTAGATGGCATGACAAAAGCCACTTAATACATTGTAATAAAAAAGCAGAACGTGACCATTTAATTGATAATTGCCAGCTACAGCAAAGAATGCTCCTTTTAAAAAAATACTACCTAAAATACTGCAAAAAGCCACTTTGGTGACATACCAATCTCGTATCTAAATGCTGATGTCACACATTTACCCCGTCGCTCAGCAAATCTCCTAGATGGTCACACAAAATGGCTCCCAAGCGCTGAGGACAGTACACGAGGTACATGGTACTCCATCCTTCAGAGAAATGCAAACTCTTGCAATTGGATCTACTGTCTGTTAGACACGGAGCAAGTCTGGTTTTGGCCAGCAGTGCCCTCCAGTGTGCATTCACCCCTTGGAAGTGGGAAGAAGGGATAACTCAGTGGTTTGAGCATTGGCCTGCTAAACCCAGGGTTGAAAGTTCAATCCTTGAGGGGGCCATTTAGGGATCTGGGGCAAAAATCTGTCTGGGGATTGGTCCTGATTTGAGCAGGGTGTTGGACTAGATGACCTCCTGAGGGCAGGGTGTTGGACTAGATGACCTCCTGAGGTCCCTTCCAACCCTGATAGTCTATGATTTTTGACTGCCCTATGTTGATGAGATGTACAGTGGTGTCTAGTCCCTCAATCATCTGCCTAGGATGGATCAGTACCCCAATCCAACAGGCTGAGAGCAATGGGAAGAAATCTAAGTACACGGGAGGGAGGTGGCCTGGAATTCGAGTGAAAACAAAACCCCTCAGAAGACGACAAACTCCTTTGCCAACTAGTTCCTAAAGACAATTCTATCTGAGGGTCAACGATTGTTTTCTGTTTTCAACAGGTTACTTAAAAGAACCATTTTTAGTTTGCCTGCCAGCCCAGACTTAATACATCCCTTCCCCCTGCCCACCTACACAGCACCCATCATTGTGGGGTTCTTCTTCTAAACTGGATACAGCGAGGTCCATAAAAGGAACCATGCAGCTGGGAAGGATCATCATGTTTGTTTTAATTACTTGTATTTCCATCAACTACTTCGCTCGGACATTTACACTAGCGCTCCCTCCCACTGCTCCCCTTCACTGTTCCATCCTCAGCTGTTTTACCGCTCCAGACACAAGTCTAAACTCTGCCCTCTGATGCACACCCAGCTCCCCCTGAGCCCTCGTTGCCAAGGCGGCCAATGGCATATTGGGCTGTGTTAGTAGGAGCATTGCTAGCAGATCGAGGGAAGTGATTATTCCCCTCTAGTCGGCACTGGTGAGGCCACACCTGGAGTATTGCGCCCAGTTTTGGCCCCCCCCCACTACAGAAGGGATATGGACAAATTGGAGAGTCCAGCAAAGGGCAACGAAAATGATTAGGAGGCTGGGGCACATGACTTACGAGGAGAGGTTGAGGGAACTGGAGTTATTTAGTCTGCGGAACAGAAGAGTGAGGGGGGATTTGACAGCAGCCTTCAACTACCTGAAGGGGGGTTCCAAAGAGGATGGAGCTCGGCTATTCTTGGTGGTGGCAGATGACAGAACAAGAAGCAATGGTCTCAAGTTGCAGTGGGGGAGGTCTAGGTTGGATACTAGGAAACTATTTCACTAAGAGGGTGGTGAAGCACTGGAATGGGTTCCCTAGGGAGGTGGAATCTCCATCCTTAGAGGTTTTTAAGGCCCGACTTAACAAAGCCCTGGCTGGGATGATTTAGCTGGGGATTGGTCCTGCTTTGAGCAGGGAGTTGGACTAGATACCTCCTGAGGTCTCTTCCAACCTAATATTCTATGATTCTGTGGTGGAAGCGAGGTGCAACGGTTGAAGGTGGAATTTGGCCCTGGGGTTGGAGGCTTATGAAGTAGTTTATGTCATGTGGGAGGTTGGCACGATGGTGGAAGGGGATACTGAGAATACAGTCTGGAGAGACCTCAAGGGAACCTCTAGCTGATGTAATGCTCCCATAGTCCATGTGTCCCTGGCAACTGCAAAACCCCATAAAAGTGAACGCACCAGAAAGCGTCCACAAGCATTAAAAACAGGTATTACCCATTATTCGATAGCATCTTCGCTTCCCCTGGTCCCTAAAGGAAAGGGCAGCAGAACCTTCAGAATGAGACAAGATAGTAGGAAGCTATTTTCATGCACATGACTGGAGAGAAAGTCACATAAGACTTGATTCCGAGCTTGTGAGCCTTCCCTTCCCAGATCAGACGGTAACCTGGGTGCTCCAGGGACAAATTGCTTGATCAATATATTGAGTGAGAAAAGTGCCTAAGGGTACAGCTACCCAGCCCGCAGCAGCGAGCCTCCCAACCCGGCTAGCAGGGCTCGCGCTAGTGCTCTAAGCTGTCTGTGCAGACAGCGCTTTGAAGCTGCGGCTTGGACTGGAGTCCAGGCTCCGCAGCCCACGCCCCCTCCCTTGGCTCACTAAGCCAGGCCAGCAATTTCAGCATAACCACCCAATTCCCTTGATGAGATTCTAAGCTAGATCCTGGCTGGAATTTAGGCAAGCGACTATCCTCCACTGCTGCTGCTTCAACGTGAGAGGCCGCAAGCGGCTCTTCTATTATAAATCAAGAGAGAGCCCTCCACTGTCAGCAAAAACTCCATGCAATATCTGCCCGTCATCCACATGGAAAACAGATTTAGGGTTTACCTTTCCACCTCCTGGCTGGTGCTTCAGGTTTTCAGTGGAACCAATCTTGGACCTGACGTTTTTCAGATCAGGCATGGGGGCAGTAGACGTCTGCAGGCGGCTCTTGGCAGAAGCAGGGGATTTCGGTGGCGTGCGAACCACTGCCACCTTCTTGGGCTCCCTGTTCGGGGGAGTTGGCAGGGAGGGCGTGCGGGAACGGCTACCGGGGGTCCCAGGTGAGCCAGGGCTGCTGTAACCACTTCTGTCTCCAGACTTCGCAGGCTCACCTGAAATTCGCAGACACACATGTAACAGCAGGGTGGAGGCACGGGTTGCTTTGCAAAGTGCTGCCAACATTTATTGAATGGATCAACCTGCTATTCGACATGCGGCACGCCCACGGAGTCAACATTCACAAGTTGCTCCGATTGTTACTTACCAGCTAGGGGATGACTAGTACTGACCATCCCCCTATGAGGTCACAGTGTGGGGAGGATCTTGATTTACAAGGGGAGGGGCTAGCTAGAAACAAACACCAGTGAATCGAGGCGACGGAGTAACGATTCTGCAGAGGAGAATCCTGAAGCAAGGGACAGGCACAGTGCGGGGGATCAGAGGGATTGGGAAGGAAGTTACATAAAACTGCACTTTTATCTAAGGATTTCGAGGCACTTTACAAGCATTTAGTTAATAATAATACCTACCTCTTCTGTACACCTTTCCATCAGCAGATCTCAAAGCATTTTACAAAGGAGGTCAACATCACTGTGCCCATTTTACAGATGTAAAATGGGGAAACAGAGGCACAGAGCAGGGGGGCAGCTTGCCCATGGCCACCCTGCCCACGGCCACCCAGCATGAACGACAGAGGCAGGAATTATAGAATGGTTGTTTGGAGCTTTACGTCCGAGCTCACCCACACTCAAAACCCAACCAGCGTTCTCAGGCAATATCCACCATGGTTCTTACCAACATCTATATGGAATGAAACCCAGGTAACCTCACACCTAATTTGCCTCTTGAACTAACCAGGACACAGACTCTCTTTCTCAATCTCACTCACTCAGGACCAGTGTGGGAGCTGGGGGGGAATAAAACTTTTTGTTGACTTGCTCCAGTGCTGGGTACCTGCATTTCTGCCATTTCAATTGAACAGTGAATGAGAGCACGGTCCCAACACACAAAATGAAGCTGATTTTCTGAACCTAGATCATGAAAAACTAGCTTTGTACAGGGCTGTGAAATGAACCGCTCAGTGCCTGAGAAGCTACAAACAAAAATATTCAGATGCAATTTTTGTAATTTAAAAATATGAAAAAGGAAAACACGGACATTGCAAAATATTTTTAAAACAGCTCGGGCAGCCGAGATCGAAGGGGGGGGGGGGAGGAATCCTTACATTTTACCTTTTTCAGATTTTGCTGCTGGGGTAGGCGGCTTTCTCTGCTCCTTCCTGCCAGCTGAAAGAAAGTTAAAGAAACTTACGTAAAATCAATTACGTACAAACGTTAACCAAAGGTTTTAGCAGTGTCTGGATAAACAGAAGAACTATTCACCAGGACACACCATTTTAAAGGTAATTTGTGACCTCTGGAGCAGAAAGCATTCCCAGAAATCATCAAGAGCACTGGCTTAGTCCCCCCATCACTGTTAGGAGAATGTATCCTAAATAAAAATGATTTACAAAGTTTCCTCTATCCCCAAATATAGCCCCTTTCGAGGAATGAATGACTGGCCTTTTGAAAGATCTCTCAAATAAAATAGAAAAACTAACTGGAGTAAAAAATGGAGCAGCTTAAGTCTTCCAAATCAGAGCAGAGCGCATCCAATGAATTATACTCCCAGAGGGATCTAACCAGAGGATAAAGGAGGCGCAGTTGTCATCCTAAACCAAGCCGATTATATGAAGGAAGCAGACAGACCAGTAACCAACCAGGCTTATTACACAAAAACTATTCATAGCTCAATACACACAAAACTGTGATGGATGTTACACAAATCAGCGCTACCACATCCACACTCCTTAATCTAGCTAACCCTAGTGAATGAACCCTAGGGGCTGTTCTATAGTACAAAGTACAGGAAGACCCACCCTACCTAGCTGTACCCATATAAAAGGATCCTCCTCTCACTGAACGGGACGTCTATAGGCAGAACACCACACTGTTCGAGAGCGAGATGAAATACAAGATTTAGCCGTCCCCACTTTGCTCCTGCTCAATCTCCCAGTACGCTAGAGGCAACGTAGGTTCTCTCACGCCAGCAGCATTCCAGATACTGGGGGATTTCACCACAGGGAACATCCCTACAGAAAATTCACTCTCAACCCTCTGCCAGATTGACAGGCTGGATTTCCCACCTTCTTTCTCCAGCTCTTATGGAGTCTTGGCTGGACACTGCTGCACCCAAGAGAGTAGTTTCAGATGGATCATTTTTCCCAGACAAGGGAAATCACCTATTACTTTTAGGCTCCGTCAGGGCTGCACTATTCACACCCTCAGACCCATGAAGAAAAAGCACGGTCCATCTAACACTCATCTTTCCGCACCTCCCGTCTCCCCACAGGACTGGACTCCTGACACTGCAGAGTAGCTCGGGAAGGAGCATTTTGCTCCTGCAGCAGGGGAAAGGGGGCTGAGTGCAGACAGGCTGCTTGGTGACACAGTATGCTCAAAAATAGATGTGCACACGAAGTCTGACCCAGTCGGTGATTTTAGGGAGGGGCAATCCCAGTGCTTTCTGGAAAGAGGAGATTCCTGCCTCAAACGCGCTGAATGCCCATTGGGGATTTTGCTGAATGCAGCACACACTCCATCCTACCAGCATTGGGAGGCGTCTTGGGGGCCGTGGGCGTTTTTGCCGGGATCCGGGTAGCGTTGGCTGGGCTTTTTTGAGTCTGTGTGGCAGACCTGGGAGCGGCCATCTTCATTCCGCTTTTCATCTCCGGACCCTGGAGGCGGAATCGGGAACAAACGTTTACCATGTGGTTTGCAGTCCCACGAGAAAAAAAACCAACCAACCGCCCAGCGAAGGGACATTCTCAAGATTTTTACTCTCTTCACTCAGATAGCAGAGAGCTTGCAAAACGCTCCTCAGCTCCTGCCACCACCATCCCAGGACTCTGCCACGAGGTATGGAGGGTAGGATGAGCAACTTCCAGTGAGACCTCCACGTGTACAGCCATTTTAGTTGTATATGAGTCACCCCCCCTTTGCACGCTGCCCCATGATGATGTGCCGGCTGCACCAGCCCCAGTGACTGGAAGCCCTGAGGTAGCACCTACACTGACAGGGAAGCACATGGCTGCATGCCACCTTCCCATGCAAGTTGTTCACTTCAGTGACGCAGTGCCATGAAATGCTTTGCTACCCGTTCCAATTAGCAGGGCTGGCCGAAAAGCAAGTCCATGTCCTTCACCTGTTCCTAAAACTCTTGCCTCCCCAATTAACAAAAGCTTCCTTTCCTCATTTCTGATCAATTGTGGTTTATATTCATTCAACAGCCCTTTTAGGGTGCTAAAAAGTTTATGAAAAGTTAACCCTGCTGAGTTAATTCAGACATAAAGGGTTGTTCAGGCTGGTCACTGGTGCTTAAAAAGTCAAAAGCAGAATAAAATATCCTCTTCCCCATTTCCTCTGCAGTTTATTGTTTAACAACCCCTGTAGGGCAGCTTCTTAAATCGGATTCAATGCCATTTACTCCCTGTCTGACGCAGGACTGGGCACGAAAACTTCCATTAAAAGTGTGAAAAAGAAAGCTAACGTGCTTTTGGTCAGAGGTCAAATTTCAATGTTGTTACTGTTTGTTTGTTTCTCTATCCGGGAGAGAGTGCTAAGCATTATTTCTAACTGTGACTGTGACATTTTCATTTTTTAAAAATGTACACCAGCCCTGAAGCAATGCATGCCGGAGATCAGAACTGGTCAGCTTCAAATTCTTTAGCACTGAAGCTCATCCTATTATTCAAGATATACAATTTCTATTCTCTCCCCTTCCTTCAGGTTCTAACAAGTTGTATGAATGGAAACTCTAAAAGTCTCTTTTATTTATTTATTTATTTTAAATAGGGGGGGAGGGATAGCTCAGTGGTTTGAGCATTATCCTGCTAAACCCAGGGTTGTGAGTTCAATCCTTGAGGGGGCCAATTTGGGAACTGGGTAAAAATCTGTCTGGGATTGGTCCTGCTTTGAGCAGGGGTTGGACTAGATGATCTCCTGAGGTCTCTTCCAACCCTGATAGTCTATGATTCTAATGATACACAGCCCTGTTAGAGGGTTGTGTTTTCTGCATAATTTTGTAGCACGGAAGGCCTGACTCCAATATATGAGATATATACAGGACTATGTCCATGCACCCATAAATACCAACACAATGTTGTTGCAATGTGAAAGAAGTCAACGCCTCATTGAAATACAAGACAAAACCCTTCTGCACACGGGGGAGAGGTTTTAAAAAACAGCCTTAAAATGAATGCAAACCAAGGGACCCTCCCAGCAGATCAGAGAGATGTGACTGCTCTGTACAACACTGAATTATAAAATCTCCCCAAGAACTACTCCAAACGCCACTCCCGAAGCAAGGACCGTAAAGGATTTCCTGGTAACACGGCTACTTAGCTGTGGGGGTTTTTTAAACAAACACGGTAAACACCAGGTGCTCCAGCCACCCCATAAACAAGCTAGAATGGTTGTCTGGCCATTCCTGACTGAAGCGATTCACAGTCTCGGTTGGGAGAATTTTCAGTCCGATTTACCTCCTCCGTTACGTAACATGGAGTCAACAGGAGACATTACACACACTCTCAGAACATACTTCAGCGTGGCAGGAATCAGTCAGTCAGGAATGGGCAACTAATCGTTTTTTAAAGGCAGCTTTGGTTTCTTTTTCACCCATTTCCTTACCTTTGGCTTTGTTTCTTTCCTTCCTGTACTGGCAGGTCGGGATGTGATAGAAGAGACGCGTTTAGGAGTGGAAGCTGGTACTGAGGACTCAGCAGGACTGGAGGGGTTTTTCAAAGGGGTTGTACTAACAGAGGAGGGTCGCTGGGGGGTAATGGAGGATCTATCTTTCAGGGGGTTGGCAGAGGAAGGTGTGGATGTCTTCAAACAAGTAAACAAAATACAAATACAAATAAAATTAAAAAAAATCAGCATGAGAAAAAGCAAACTGAAAAGGGATGATGGTTAAAATCAAATATGAATGGCTAGGAGTTAGAGGTGCAGCACACCAAGGCAGAAGTGACAGACGTGCACCTGCGATCAGGAGTTCTCCATCACACTATGATGTCAGGCTTGTCAGACTGAAGTCTCACTTTAAGATTATTAGTCACCCAGTGACATTTCTTGATACTTAAATAATAAATAAATAAATTAATTAATGGAGATGTCCTATCTCCTAGAACTGAAGGGACCTTGGAAGGTCATCGAGTCCAGCCCCCTGCCTTCACTAGCAGGACCAAGTACTGATTTTGCCCCAGATCCCTAAGTGGCCCCCTCAAGGATTGAACTCACAACCCTGGGTTTAGCAGGCCAGTGCTCAAACAAACATTTGAAAGAAAGAAGCTGACTTGGCAGAAGCTAGTAAATCTAGGACCAGAATTTCCAAGAGCACCCAGTGCCCACAACAGGGCCAGATTTTCTAACACGCTCAGCACCCAGCGGGTCCCCACTGAGAACAAAAAGTGCCGGGCTCCTTTGAGAACCTGGCTCCCTAGTTCTTAAGATTCAGAGAACACAGAAGACTTTGGAGCAGGCAGCAGACTGTTCCCTGTTCCTTGATCTGAAGACACGACCCTACCCTTGGGAGTTTGCTCCAGTGCTTAATCACCCCCACTGTTAAAAATTTATTGCTTATTTCCAATTTAGTTTGCCTGGGTTCAACTTCCAGCCATTGGTTCTTGTTGTGCCTTTCTTTGCTAGACTAAAGAGCCCTTAAGTAAGCCCGTATTTTCTCCCCATGATGGAATTTGGGGATTGGGGGGAGGGATAGCTCAGTGGTTTGAGCATTGGCCTGCTAAACCCAAGCTTGTGAGTTCAATCTTTGAGGGGGCCATTTAGGGATTTAGTTAGGGATTGGTCCTGCTTTGAGCAGGGGTTTGGACTAGATGACCTCCTGAGGTCCCTTCCAACCCTATGATTCTATGAACTTACACACTGTAACCAAACCATCTCTCAATCTCCTTTGTGATAAGCTAAAATAAGGTATCAGATCGAGCTCTCTAAGTCTCTCCCGGTAAGGCATTTCCCCCCCAGGCATCAAATAATTTGTCTCTCTCTGTTCTGCATCCTCTCCAATTTTCCAACATCTCTTTTTTAAAACGTGGACACCAAAGCAGAGTAATATTCTAGTATCATCGTCTGCATCATCATGGCAACTCCCAAAGGGACATGGGTCTACGGTACAGTATAACTGGCAAAATCACCTCCCTGCTCCTCCTCCTTTCTCCCCCATTTTGCCATCCAAGGATCGCGTTCGCTTTTTTTTGCTACTGCCTCCCACTGAGCACTCATGTTGAGTTGCTTGTCCACTATGACGTCTAAAATCCTTTTCAAAGGGGGTCTACCCTGTGAAGTTGTCGGCAAAACTTTTGTCTTTCACGGGTCCTTAAAAAAAGCCCCCCCGCAAAAGACAAAAGTTTTGCCGACGCAAGTGGCAATGTGAACGCGGCTTTGTTGGCAGGAGCGCTCTCCTGCCGACAAAGCTAACACTGCTTGCGGGGCTGGACGTATTTAGTCGGCAAAAGTGCCGACAAAGAGCGTTTACACACGCTGACTTTTAGCTAAAAGCTGCGTGGTGTAGACAAGCCCTAAGTCATGGTTTCCAGGATACAGTCCTCAATTCTGTAGACATGGTCTGCATTCCTTGCTCCTAGATATATAACTTTGTACTTAGCTGTATTAAAACACTTTTTGTTTAAATAGGCCCAGCTTCCCAAGCTATCAGATCACCCTGTCTGACTGCCCTGTCATCATGATTTACCGTTCCGCCAACCTCTCCCCTACCGATTTCCTTCAGCAGCGATGTTATATTTACTTCCAGATCATTAGATGGACATGCTGAATGGCATCAGGCCTACTACCAATCCCTGGGAAAAGAACAGCCCTATTCGATGACGATTCCCCACTGACAACTACTTTTTGAGATCTGCCAGTTAGCCAGTAATCCATTTATCTGTGCTTTATTGATATTCTATAGTGCTAATTGTTTAATCAGAATGTCATTTGGTATTAAGTCAAATGCCTTACAAATGTCTAAGTATATTACATCTATGCAATTACCTTTATTAGCCAAATTTGTTATCTCCTCAAAGAATGAAATCAGGTTTGTTTGACACGACCTATTTTCCATAAAACCACATGGAACGGCATTAGCTATACTCCTATCCTTTAATTCTTAATTAATTTAATCCCGGATCAGCTTCTCCATTATTTTGTCTGGGACCGGTGTCGGGCAAACTGACCTCCTACACCCATGTCATCTATTTTGCACTTTCTGAATACTGGCATAACATTAGCACTCTTCCAGTCTTATGGAATTTCCCAGTATTAAATTGTGTGTATAATTCAGAGCACAACACTCTGTTGGGTATGGACATTTTTTTTTAACTGTTGCTAAGACCAAATTCCCAGCCTTGCTCTTTCTTTGTTCCCAAAATGGGCAGTTATGTCAGTTCAGAACTGCTGGCTCGCCAACCAAAGCTCCAAATCTGCAACTGTTATTTCACAAAGGCTTACCCTCGCAGCTGCATGGATCTGATTCCAGGACTGGGACCCAATTATTTAGGGTAATAGTTTTTGGAAAGTTAAACACTTTGGACTCCTGCCATGTACCATGGGGTTTTCTTTGAATTAGTAAAAAACCCAGCAGTTTAATTTTAAAAGTCACAATTTTGTTATGAGTTGATTCTTCCAAGGTTCATGATTTAAAATGACTGCACCTTCCAAAGGCAGGAGGGAAAAACACAAACACACACTAAAAGAAAAGAAAACTGGAAATTAATGGCAAGGTTTCCTAACAAATCTATGACTTAGGTCAAAAGCAGCTGGGTGTAGATGGAGTCAAGAACACACACAGAAGGCTTACATCATATCGCGTATCTGTCATCCTACCTTAGGCTTTTTCTCTTCAGTATCAGTTCCATCTTTGTCTTTACTGTCAATACGAGCTGATGAAATGTAAATAAAGACAGTTATGTTCCTCTTCTTGGGGATGCTAAATAAATACCAAATAGCTTATAATGCCTGCATTATCGTAACATGCATTAATGTTCTCTTTTCTTCTCATTTCAGTTAAATCTATTAAAAAACAGTCCTTATCAAATGACTTCCTCTTTTTAAATGTGTTCTTGCTGTGTTACAGATTAGCCTTAATATAGGCGATGATGCGTTAGAGTAACTGTTAGGAGCATCAAATACATGCGGCAAGTTTTATCCCAGACCACCCTTGACAAGAAGATTGACATACTGTTCTAATGGTGTCTTTCTGAACAGCTCCATTCTCAGGCCTAAGTCTGTCCCTTTGCTCTTCAAAACAAATGCAGATAAGGTTTACGCATCACATCTGAAGACTAAAACTCACGAATGCCTCAAACCTACGAGGGTAGGTGCTGAAGACCTTAAGTAACAGAACGGCTGCTTCTTGTGTTTCCAAAATCACTTTTCAATGTATTACTTCAAAAAGCAATTTTATTCAAATCAGTTTGTAATCTTCATCTCTCCCAATCTACTATTTTCTGTATGAGACTGGCAGAGATTACTCCTTACGATTCCGTTTCAGAACCTGTAATATCCCTTGAGGCTTTATCGGCCAAATGAAAGCCACTTAAATGAGATTCATAGTGAACGCACAGGGTTTCTTGGGCCATTACACTATTATTTAGCCCCATTAACCTACGAACTACAACAGACACTGCAGTATTGCAAATAAAGAGATCAGAAGTATAGAAAGAGTAAAATGTGTACTACACCCTAGGGTGCTAGCTACTAAATCCACTTTTTTCCCCACCAGCAGCTAAACTCCTTCTTAATTTGAAAGGAAAAACAGCTCTTGTATCTTCTCTAAACTTTGGGAATTTATTCTGGCTGATAACGAAATGTACAAGGTCATTTATAAAACATAGCTCTAGCAGTCACCTTGAACCTCCCCCACTATCCACTTGCATAACTTGCCTCATGCCCTTCCCTTTCCTAAAACAGCAAAGGTGCCTTGTGCAATGAAGGTTGTGCTGTACGTTAGAGATAAGAACTCCAGGTATTTCTGGCTGAAAAGGGAAATACCCAGTCCTTTTTCTGTTCCTGCTACTGAATCAGAAGCCGGCGACTTTAAGCATATTGTAACCTGAACTGTCTGAAAACACAGTCAACTTCATTTCAAAGAGAAGAAGACTGTGCGCTTCCACCCATTAACTACTGGCATTGTGATGGCAACCTCTGCTAATGTCATGAGGTGTGAATGATTTCTGATTGCATATTAAGTTTAACAGGATTAACAGCAGCTGCTGATCCCCACAGTACAGTCCGTATGGCGGGAGCCTCCATCCTCCATTTCCTGCCTCACATGAGGGACAGTCTATGGGCTGAATGTTCAGGCTGACCGGGCTAGCTGTGCCAAGACAGTGTGTAGGCATCAAACGTGGTGTGGAACCCGTACAGACATGCAAACCTGTGTGTCAACGGCAAACGATTCCTGCGGAAAAGTGTCGGAACTCTATGGATGTCTACGGCTGGCGTGGCCCCAAAGAACTCACGTTGTGTTTTTAACACCTGGGCACTAAAACATGGACGCTAAGGAGGCTTGTAAATTAGCGAACAGATTTTCTTACAGATCCCATTTTGATTGCTTATTAAAACAATTCAGTGAAAAACCTGCATTTCACCATTGGACAGGCAACCTCCCAAGGTTTTCTTAGGACTACGGGTCTCGGTGAGAGGATAAATAGTTCTTGAATATAGAGAAAATGTGCCTGGCATACTAGCAAAGGCATTTGTGCCCAAACAGGCTGAATTTAGCCACCTACTCAGGCCAGGTAAGCTAATACTGTTGCATGAACTTGAACATCTAAAGTTAAAGCTACCTGACCGCAGTGCTATCGGATAAGCAGTTAAATGGCTCAAGGTTTCTCAGCCGACATACTTAGGTATCTAACAGGCTTCCCCTCACATAGATCTCTCTTATAATACACCAAAGATTCAGCCATCTCTTTGGAACGGTCAGGGGCGCACATAGTACTGGGCTTGGAAACTGAGGACAAATTCTCGCCCGCGGTACTCCTCCTCCCTCACCTTTAGAGCAATACGAGTGGGAGACCCTGCGTGGTTTATTAACAACAGCTATGAAACTATAGCCTGCTCTGTGGGAACGCTATGTCAGAAATGCCCAGAAAAAGTTTCAATTGATCAAACGCCTCTTCTCTTTTATAAATATTTAGAGTGATGGATGAAATCCAAGCGTCTACCTAGCAGCTTTGATAAATCCAAGGACACTGAAATGAAAAGGGAGAAAAGCACATGGCAGCGTGTCAGCGCCCATGCAAGAGAACATGCAACCAAAGCGCGAGTGTGATGCGACTGCATCAAAGGCCAGGAGTAAATGGAGGGTGAAAAGCAGCAGCACGTTGGATTTGTTCAGAGCGAACATCTGTGGACAACTGTCAGGCAGCAGGATTCAAGGGGTGCCATACTGGTTTTAGCAGCCTTGCCCTGAGCAAGTCATTGGAGATAGAAGCGTGGGGCAGGAAAATGAGACACACACACACCTTTTAAATGAGGAACCCGACTGACTTGTTTCTCTGACATGCGAGTTGCGGGTTTCTTTTTGGGTGATTCTTCTTTTTCCATGGCCTGCACCATTCCCCCCATCTCCTGTTGCAAGGAAACACTTCTATCTGCCACGTCCTTATTTAACCTATCAGGAAACTTGGTTGCACCTAGTGGAGAACCTGAGATTTCTCCCTCCCTAATTACATTAGCTTCAACTTCCACTTGGTACATACTTTCAAAGGGTTCCATCTTGGTAACATCATCATATCCTTTCCCTGACAACCACTGTCGTCTCTCATCTAGGATCTGTCCTGCTTTATGAGTTTCCCTTTCAGTAACAGGAATCTCTCTAGATATTTCTGCCAGATTATCTTTGGGTCGGCCTTCTGCTGGAAAGCCATGAACCTCCACAGCTTCCTCGGCTGCTTCAAGCAGTAGAGAGTCTTGCGGTCCTAATGCGGAAGGTGAATCCTGCAGAATAGTTTCATCAATGTCACGGTCTTCATCTTTTTCATGCCCAGCGGCCTCTTCTTTCAATTTACCTCTGCTGTATAAAGGATACGGCCTGTCTTGAATATGGGAGTTGTCAACTGGCTCATACCCCACATCATCAATACCCGGGTGCCACTTTTCAAATGGAGCAGCCAGTTTCTCATGATAGAACATTCCAGCACTTGGAGCACCCTGAGAGAATTCGGAAACTGCTGATGTGGCAAATTCTTCCGTGCACACATCATGACCTGCTTCATCTGCCAACGCTTTACCCACTCCAACATCCTCTTTTCCACCACGGTCCCAGAGCTCAGTTCTGGAGACAGCCTCCTGGCTTTCTTCAAAGGCTCTGAAGTCTTCATATGTGCCTGGGGGGACTGGTATGGTGGCCTCAGCTCTGGCAGGAATTGCTGCTGCCTGTTCTCCAGTCCGCATTTCACGTAAAGGGAGGACAGTCGCTGGAAGAACCTCACCTGCTTGTTTTTCTGGCTGAATCTCACTTGCCACGTGCTCCTGAATTCCAGGTTCCACACTCTCCCATAGCCTTGGGGAGCTCAGCTCTTCTGGGGGGCGAAGAAGGAGGGTAGGATGTCAAGCGTGGCAAAGAATTAGCACAGGTATTTCAATGGAAAGTCATTCTTGCAACACAAAAGAAAGACTTAAAAGACTTTTTATAACCATTCTACACGGATAAAAGCAATCAAGTCCTACACTGCCACTTGCGGTGGAAAATTCAATTCTGCAGTTCTCTTTGTTTTAAAGGAATCTTGTCCCTGTAGATAGGCTTAAAACAGAGCTACTCCACTTTGCTTTGATGATACACATTGAATCATCCATCATCTCTGCTTACCTGCTCCAGTGCTGGGAAGAGGTAGAGTACCAAAACAAACACAGGATTTGCCATACCAGATCTATCCAGTTATCCTGTCTCCCATACTGAAAGTCTCAGAGGAAGGAGCGTCCCTCCGCCCCCAGTAATATGCCGGTGTGTGATCAACTATGCTCTGTGACCATGGTGGATGGATTCTATCCCAGCCTCTGTCCACAGAGGTGGTCCAAAGTATGCCATGAAGGCTAACATTTGATCATCGTTCAATTTTATAGGCCACAAAACTATCCAGCCTCTATCTAGTTACAGCACTGGACAATTAATTAGCTCTTGTGGCAGTGAATGCCACAGGTTCACCACGTGTCAAATGAAGTGTCGCTTTCATTTGTTCTAAATAAATCTGCCAATAATTGTGTTGTGTAACCAGAATGAAAATGGATAGCTAGTCTCCCGACTCTAAGGGCTAGTCTACACTGGCAACGTTAAAGCACTACCGCGACAGCGCTTTAACGTGGCTTGTGTAGTCGCAGCAGGGGGCGTAGCTACCAACGCTGGTGCATTATCTACACTGGTGCTTTGCAGCGCTGAAACTTGCTGCGCTCAGGGGTGTTTTTTCACACCCCTGAGCAAGAAAGTTGCAGCGCTGTAAAATGCCAGTGTAGACAAGCCCTCAGGTTACATACAAAACTTAAATCCCCTCCAGCTCTTCTTCTCTCCAAACTAAATAAGACTAGTTATAGCCGACACATCTCAGCCACCCGGAATTCTAACCATCTTCACTTCTCTAGACCATTTCTTCTTCTGCTACATCTTTACCAAAAACTAGACAGAGCAGTGCAAGTATTCCAATTCTTTTTTATTTCAGTAGCCTGTCTACGCCATCAAAGCACAGGGTGTAGGTGGAGAGGATGGATCACACAACAGAAACACCTGGCTGCGACTGCAAACAAACTCTGTTTTCGTATGTTCCGCCCACTCTGCAGAGAAATTAGTACCATAACATTGCACCCCCGTTCTGGAGCAGCTGACAGTATAACCTTTAAAAAACAGAGCTTACAGTCATAGATGCAAAGATTTTAAGGCCAGAAGGGAACATTTATGATCATCCAGCTAAGGCCTACTCTACAGACCTACAATGATGTTGCCCAGGGGTGTGAAAAATTCACATCCCTGAGTGACGTAGTTATATTTACCTAACTCCCCAGGTAGACAGCGCTCGGTCGATGGGAGAACTTCTACCGCCTCTTGGGGTATGTCTACACTACCCACTGGATCGGCGATAAATCGATCCCCGAACACGCTCCCTGTCGACTCCGGAACTCCACTGCTGCGAGAGGAGGAAGCAGAGTCGACGGGGGAGCGGCGGCCATCGATGCTGCGCCGTGAGGACGTGAAGTAAGTCAATCTAAGATATGTCGACTTCAGCTCCGCTATTCCCGTAGCTGAAGTTGCGTATCTTACATCGACTCCCCCCCCCCCCAGTGTAGACCAGCCCTCAGAGTCGTGCTGCAGGTGAGCAGAACATACCGTAAGGACAACAAAAGTAGAGACGTGCCCACTACATTAATTAGCGACATTTCCAAAATGCACTTGTTGTTCTAAATACAGAGGGCAACACGTGATCAAAGGTGTTTGTAACATTTCAAATGATACGGTTAAAAATCTGAAGATTTAAAAGGCTGCCCCTCCCACAGAAACTTGAGCCTCACTTCACTACTCTTCCCTCTTCATGCTGAAGAGCCAGTTTTCAAAGTCCACAGCAAAACAAAACCAAGGTCACTAATTATGATTTATACCTGGCCACAGGCGTGCAGCACTCATCACAATTATATCTGACCCAGAGGAAAATGTATCATAAAATGGAAGTGCCCCTTTTAAAGCATCATTCCCCACGTTCAGAGAAGTAACAATTTACTGCGCAGAAACCTGGTACTCAGTACAGGGGGGGAAAAGTTTAAACATCTGGTAAGAACAGAAAAGTGGCCAGAGCTGGGAAGAGATCATGCAACGCTTCCATCACATTTCTGCTAATGACCTCAAGCGACACCTACAGAACCCTCTGCTATTCTAAACCTTGTCCATTTGCACACAAGAACTGCCACTCACAAAGATTTGCAAGATGATCCTGTGATACAGTTATGGGCAAACTTCTGCTAGGGAGTAGGATAAGAATAACCAAACTCATTTACATGGAAGCTGAAGATGCGAACTCTGTCCTGAGTTGAAAAGATACAGGAAAAAATATTTACTTTTTAAACATCACTAAGTTTGAAAGTACCTCTCTCAGCCAGGCAAGTTGTGTGCAATTTTGAGAGTAGCAGCAGGCATGGAGCAGGAAGGATATACACCAAACAGATGAAGAAATTCAGGTCATGTATATGCCACCAAGAAAAAGATCTTGCAAAATGGGATTTACTCAGCTTGAAAAACCAAGCAGCATGTAAATGGCACAAGATGGAGAGCGTGAGCATGAAAACCATCTAGAGCACATTCAGCTTTCTACACTTGCTGTTTCATTAGACTGGGGTGGAATTTTCAAAACCATTCCGAGCATTAGCCTCCCTCTGCTCCCACTGGACGCTTTTGAAAATCCCACCCTGAAGTTTTCAATTATGTCTGAAGTCAGCATAGTCAAAAATCACCCTTTTCAGCCTGACTCCTGTGAGCTAGTAGCGCCTCCTATTAAAGCGATAATTTTTTAGCTCGGTTAAGCAGATGCCCAGTTATGCTGTACGTCCACACACTGCACAGCGGCTAGCTTTGTTATGTTCTGTGTAACAGAGGCCAGAAGAGACTACTCTCAATACGTCCAAGTACATAATGAGACTGGTTTGAGGATAATGTGCAAACCAGACTCTTAGTGGGCGTTATTTTTGTCACAATTCAAGTAAAAAAACTGGATGTGGTGATTATAAAGTTAGATAATCCACTGCCTCGGGGTCAGCACTGCAGGGTTCAAAATCAACCCACGCCTCTCGTTCCACAGGAGTGACATTGAGATATATTGCAAAAGGTGACTGGGGATGAAGGAGTCCGTATTCAAGTATGAGCATCTCCCGTTGGCTGACTCATATTGTCCTCTCTGTGTGTATTTTGCAAGGTGATTCCTCCTTTCATAGCTTGGAGGATAGTCAACCGTCCGCTATTCCAGACAGAGGACAAGGACTCAGGCTGTGACCATCCAGAGAAGAAGGGCAATGGAGGAAAAGTTGTGGTGTCCCCCTAAAATGAAAAAGTGGGGGGGATACTTCAAGCATCTTGACCATACCTGGCTAAAGACCGGCAGCGGCAGGGAGAACTGGATAGTTGGGTGTCTAGCAAAGAAGGGAAGCATTGCAGAAGAAAAATCCCAAACCACTGGCAACTCCTATCTCTGATTTGGGTCCCAATTGGATTTTTCTATTTCCCAGCAGCAAATATTCCACTGACCTTGAGCACCATCTCCTGCAGCTTGATCCTCAAGGTTAGGAGTAGCTCCCACACCTGCTTCCTCAGCTGATTCACAGTTAAATAAAGGGGGGGAAAATTACAAAAGTTAAATTGAAATGGCTGCCACAAGAAACAAATTTGCTTCCTTACTGATCCTGTCCAACAGCCTGACAGGGCCGCCAGAGGATTCACGGGGCCTGGGGTCTTCGGTGGCGGGGGTCCTTCTGCTCCAGGTCTTCGGGGCACTTCGGCGGCAGGTCCCGGAGAGAGTGAAGGACCCACCGCCGAATTGCCGCCGAAGACCCGGAGCAGAAGAAGCTCCGAGTCTTCGGCAGCGGGTCCTTCACTCGCTCCGGGTGTGTTCGGCGGCACTGAAGGACCTGCCACTGAAGACTCGCCGAAAACTCTTGTGGGGGCCCCTGAAAACTCTCGTGGGGGCCCCTGTGAGGCCCAGGGCAAATTGCTCCACTTGTGCTCCCCCTCGCCCCGGTGGCCCTGCAGCCTGAAGGCATTATAAACAATACTATAATGTACCTGACGGCAGTTACCTTTTAACTGCAGTTGCGGGACTGCCTTATTACATCAGAGCACTGCTTCATCTAAGCCAGTATCTTGGATGACAGAGACCAGTACCAGATACTTCAGAGACAAGTGCAGGAAACTCTTGTGGGCAATTAAGGAGTGGCCTTGCCAAGGTTAGCATGAGAATGTATATCCCTTTTTCAGTCCCAAGGGTGGATGTTATCAGCCACAAAAATATCTAATTCTTTATTATTGCCCACAGGCGAACTATAACGAAGCTCAGACTAATTCTAACACTAACCCAATGCTAAAAGCGGAGAGCTATGGGGTAATGGCAAACACTGCTAAGTGTCATCTAACTACCCCAGGCAATAGAAAGGAACTGAGAGGTGGTTTGGGGCCCTTGGGGGAGGCAGGGTACAGCATCAGAAATCCTCCGAGGTAAACAGGATGACATTCAGTAAGTATAAATGCAAAGTACTCCACTTAGGAAGGAACAATCAGATGCACACACACAAAATGGGCAATGACGGCCTAGGAAGGAGTACGGCAGAAAGGGATCTGGGAGTCACAGTAGATCACAAGCTAAGTATGAGTCAACAGTGTAACGCTGTTGCAAAAAAAACGCAAACATCATTCTGGGATGTATTGGCAGGAGTGTTGTGAGCAAGACACGAGAAGTAATTT